ATATAAATTAATTATAAAAAGTTATATTTATTATAATTATAATTTATATTTTTAAAATATAAATCAAATAAAATTTATATTAATTTTAATATAAAAGTTAATAATATTTATCCAAAGGTTGACTTGGCTGGTAGGGGATATTGTTTTTTCTTTTTAAAATTAAAGTAAATATAATTTAATGCATATCATCCCAAACCTTAAATGACGTCTTAGTGGTAAAAGTAATTAAAATTCCTCCTGAAGTCTTACGTTCGAAACCTGGAGAAGGCAAGTCTGAGAGGCCCTTTTCAAGAGCTTTAAACCGTCCGGTTAAACAGTTTGTGCCGGCTTGAACCATTTTATCGGTTTTAAGCAGTTCAACCTTCTCACCGGTTACAAATATTCACCCGGCCCGTTTAGGTCAACGGGTACCAGTCCGGCCAGTCTGGTCTGATTTTAAAAACAATGGTCGAAGTCTAATCTCTCAACTTTTAATTTTGAAGAAATTTTGTCCCTTAACTATTTTTGTTTTTGGTTTTTTTTGTCTTTCAATTTTGAAAAATACATATTTTTTGTCATTTTATCAATTAATTCATTAAATCAATCTAAACATATACATACCTAGTCTTTGAACTTATAATATATGCACATTTTGAGTCTTTAAATTTATAAATTTATGATTAAAAATATGTATATATAAATAAATTTAACGAATTAATTGATATAAAAATTAAAAAAATATATTTTTCATAATTCAAAGGAAAAAAATGCAAAAAATAGTTTAAATACTAAAAATATTTAAAATTTAAAATTTTAAAACTACAATTGACATTTAGCCATCTCTTTAAGATGACTTGCAGTTGGAAATAAGGATAATTTGGAAGAGAATTTTGAGATGTCTTGGTTTTGCCTTGTAAATCATGTGAAGAAAATATGCTAATCATAGGGATATAAATTGTTTTGACATAAAAATAAGTGAACAATACTCATTCTTGTCACATATAAGAACTTATAAATTTTTTGCCAACTTGTTTTATAAATCTTTTCTTTTTGCATAAATGCATTTCTATAACGATATTAATAACAATGAGTATAATATGATTTCCCATTCTCTTCAAGGAGTGGAATCAAGACCAATGGTTGTGATAGATAATTTTTTATAAAAAAAAATTTTAATTTTGTTAGCAATAGAAAGATACGCATTTGCTTTGAATATATATATATATATATTAAAATTTCCCTCTTAAGATTGCTACTTCTGAAGTACATTCAAATAGTATATCTTCTTTAATATGTCTTCTTTAATATATCTTTATCAATAATCATTTTCTTGACATGAGATAATTCAAAATATTTGTAGATTCATACTTGAATAATAAATGAATCCATTCATTCATAACTAACTTTTAGAAGAATTGCAAGTTTTTTTCTTATGATAATCTTTCTTCCAACTATTAAAATTTCAATGAACCATTCATCATAAAATATTCATCTTTTAGTCCTTTATGAACTTTATTATGAAGAAATATCATTTTATCATAATCCTTCAAGGATGTATTATTTTTCAAGAATATTTTATTTCTATAAGGGATTTTTATGAGGAATTCTTTATTTTCTTCTACAATTGAATTTTCAAGCTTCATAATTAAATGAATTTCCACGTTAAAAGTTCATAACAAATAGTTTAGAACCTAATTCAATAAAGACAATGAACTCAAAACTTGTGATATTTGCTAATAACTCATAAATTCCAAAATTATAGCAACACTAATGAAATTAAACATATTTAAATTATAAATTAAAGAATGAAAATTAAAGTTTTACTTCAAATACCTTCAATTTTTGATTTTTAACTTATTTGGATTATTACCTTAAATGGGATTTTAGAAACAAATCATATAGAAACGATTCATACTAATAATATGTTGTTAAATAAAGAACAATAAGTTGAAGAAGAAGTGTGAAATAGAGAGACAAAGCAAGACAAAAAGACCATGAAGAGTTTTATTCTTCTTTCTTCCATATCCATTCCAAACATCTTGAGTTACATGAATTTAATTACCTGCTAAAGCACTAAGATTGTGTTTGGTAACACATATTTGTATTTAAAATATATATTGTAAATATCAGTGTTTTAAGACTCGACTCGACCCGGCCTAGTTGGTCAAATTGGTTCAACTAGACCTGAGCTTAAAAATGGGTTGATTACATGCCTTAACTCATTTTGAGAGTTAACCTGCCCAAACTCGCTTGACCCGTTCGACTTGCTCCATTGACCTAACCCATTCCACTCATTGGGCAGAATCTGTCGTCGTTATATTTCTTTGGGTGCACGATCCTTTCCTCCATCAACCTCATTGACAATTAGTGCAAGCTCTTAGGGATCGATTTTGCAGCAATCAGACTTGTGAATGCCCTTTGCTTCTTCGCCTTCATTAACTACTCATTCATGGCAAAAACCAATCAACATTGTTTCGCGAAACCGATCCAATGATGAGAAATGTAGGTACCAGATTGGAGAGGTATCTCTGGCTGTAGAACCTTCGTTGTTAATCAACACCGTTCTGTGAAGTCGATCCAGGATGAGAAACTCTCTCATGAATCTCTATCCTTCTTCCTCTGATTTTTTTTGGTTCCTCCCTTCTAGCCAAGCTTCTGTAGTTGTTCAGTGATGATGATGATGAATGCCAAGGTTGAAGTAGGAAAATTGAAACTTGAAAGCAAATTGGAACCAAGGAAGGAAGCCTGAAGGAAAAATCAAGGAAATTTTTTTTTTTTTTTTTTTAAAGTTAGGAAATCAGGGAGAGAAAATCTGAAAGAAGTTTGGCAAAGATGACGATGAGATGGAAGTTTTTGGGGCTGGGAGAGGTTGACGATTGGAGACGAAAGTAAAATCTAATAAATATGTAAAAAAAAAAAAAGGTGTGTTTTAATTGATCGGTTGGATCGATCAAATGAACTGGATAATCAATTGAACCAAAGCCAATGGCCAAAACGGATCAACTACCAGGCTAAACCCAAAAACATTGGTAAATATATGTATTTTAAAATATATTATTTTGGATATATTAAATACCTCTGCATTTGAAATAAAATTTTCTTTTAAATTAAATCTTCTTCTAATCAATGTTTAAATTGAAACCATATTTTCTATGTTAAGACAACTATTTTCATTTTTCCACTCTCAAAAATTCAAATCATTATTTAAATTGTCTCAAAACTAAAAATTAAATATGTTTTTCTGGTGAATCCTTGTTTTTGGCCAATAAGCATGCATAACTATAAAACTATAAAACTATTAAGTTTAATTACATACCATACAATGAAAGAAACTAAAACTTAGAACCTGCAGAAACAACTCCAAATTATTCATCAACCACAGATACAGAAAAAGATAACCAACGCTCCAGAAATAGACTACTGAGAGCAGGAAAGCAATAGAGGAAGGAGGTAATCCGAAAAGGGAGCATAAACTCTAAAAAACGCAGCATTCTCAAGCTGGTAAACTGATAGCACCATGTTACCTGCAACAATGAGAAGAACCAGGATGCTACAGTTGAGAAAAGAAACTTCAAAATAATCAACTAAAAGTCGACTGAGACTAAAATCTGTCAGTTCACGAGATCTTCCTGATTGGGAGCTTAAAACCTACTGGGCGGCTGCTGCATGGAATGATGGATGGAAATCCTACCATCTGATGACATGGGCCTGTATAACTGGTAGACAGCTTCCAAATCTAGCATTTCACGTAAACCTCCCACCCAATCCTAGGACTCAACAGTGATACAAATAGAGTCAAAACATGTAAATCGATTGTGTTTAAAACATACTTGCATAAGAGATTAATACCAATACCAGCAAAGCAATGTTAGCAATAAGTACCTCAATCTCGATTTGGATTCTTGCATCTAACATAAACAAAAGGACACAAGCCACGATCTCAAAATTATTAGAACAACAAAAGCTCTTCATATAATGTCAGCAATAAGTACCTCATAAAAAGTAAATTATGCAAACAGTAAGCTAAATTTAAATAACTAATTATATTACCAATCTTTATTTGTTGCCACCAAAGAGATGCAGGCTCTAGTCATTGTCTTGTCCACAATATATAGCCATACACAATCTCAGTCTGCACCAAGAATGAAATATCCAAACTAAATAAAAACAGTAAAGCTAACTAAAATTAATTCTATCTGCCAACAACACTTTCTACTCGTGTTCTTGTAGATAAAAGGATACAAAAGAAAATAACATATAAGTAATATTAATAACAGTAACGAGCATGCATAGATCGTCATCTTCTCTCAGGCCCAAACATGGAATCACATAGACATCAAAATTAAGATTGTCATTTTAACAAGAGATATAGCAAAGAAACACATCATATATAACAGGCATTATAAATAATTAAGATGGAAGAAGGAAAATAAATGAAACTCAGAAACAATATGTACAAAATACTCCCATTTAGGCATGTCTACAAACACTTGGCAGACATTTTGCCTTACCCTTTTATTAACACGGGCAAGCTATAATGGTGATACAAGAGGCAATCCCTTGTCTCCAAGGAGAGACCCAGAACAAAGCCTTCCTCAAAACTCCAGCCGTGGGCATCTCTTCATAGTCTTGAAGACCCAACAAAAGTCAATCCATAATTGAATTCAAAATATAGGGACAAGGAGATGGGTTCGTGCTTAGAAGGAAGCTTTCAATTGCGTACTAGTTAAAGATGAAAGCAATAAAGGACTAATTCTAGATCAAATTCGCTGAAATCGTGGATGTCTTTCCGATATAGAGTGAATTTCTTCTACATGATACCTTCATCGGAGATCACCAATTGCAAACGACGAAGATTGGTCGGAAATTCGTCGAGGAAGCGGTAAGTAGCGTTTTTGAAATAAATGCACTTTCAACTCCCAAATACAAGCTATCAAAAATAAAACGTTAACACTAGTAGATAATTACTTTGTAAAAAAAAAAAATTTCAAATTCTCTTTATTTAAGTAAAACCAAGAATCATATTTGAATTTAAAGTTTCTAAATTCAAATACACACTATTTAAATTAAAGTTACCAAACAGATTTTAAGAAAATAGTTACATGCTAAAACTGTAGTACTATTGTAATGGCATGGAAATAGTAAGATTATTATACAGTGTGTAAATATTATTAAAAAAAAAAAAATTAAACATTCATAAATTAATTGGATCACAATACTAGTTAAATTTATTATGTGTATTAAAATTTTATTGAAGGTACATAATACCTTTTTAAAGTAATAATTAAAGCATTAAATTATTATTAACATTAATTAAATAAGTATTGAAATTTTTTTT